CAATAATTAAAAATACTAACTTACCTAATCTTCTTCAGAATTTTGCTTACATGGTGGATACACTTTTATTATGGATTCAATAAAATTATTGAAACGATTTTTTCTGCGAATTTTTCCTCTACACTTCCTTTGCTAAATAAAAAGCAAAATTCTCTTTATCACAATGCCTACGGAATGGCGCTTTTTATAGCACTCCACGTGCCTCTATTGTATTGGTAAGTGCACCTGTTTCCGGATCTTTAAAATAATATTACACAGTGCCATACAATCCGAAAATTATTCAACACTACTTCACACAACTCACAATGAAGCTTAATACAAAATAATATACTGCCACAGATATTTTTCCAAATTTCCCCCCTTTTCCGATTAAAGAACTGTAATTCGTCCATTAATATCACATGACATATCTCATGATCTCTCATTTCCCTCACACAAAATAGTGCGTAATCGGAACTGAGTACTGCTCACATTATTACCAAAGTCCTGGTAGTAACCTTTATCGCCTCCAAAATGTCGCCAAACTACCAGTTACCATATTCCAAAGATCAGCCAGAATGTCTTTTCTGAAGTGGGATAGTTTTGAGTTGTGTTTTAATATTGAATAAATTTCATCATTGAAATTTATTATAAGAGCATTTTTATATATTGTGTTAAAAATTTCAAATTAATGGGAAAGAAATGAGAATACCACATTTAATCTTAACAGAATAAAAGATGCGTTTGCACATTGTGATGTAATCTAATCATCATATGACTACGGCTGTTTTGATAACATTAAACAATAAGAAAAATTATCCTTTAATTAGCCATTTGGAAATATAGTTGGAATTTAATGAATGTAATATAAAAATTACTAGAATTATATAAATAGGCATTTTCACAGCATTTTAATAGAAAAATTGTTGGCGCGGTTTTTACAATCATCATGAGCCATCTTGAAGAAGTCTACACAAACACATGTTAGTGTCTTTAATGTTCATTTATAAACAATTTGTAACATTTCTGAAAATTATTTGATCAATACTGTTCTCTTAATCTAATACTTGGAGGCCATCCCTCACTGGAGGAGAATCTGCGTAAAATTGGTACTACTTTGGTAGACAGTTGCACGGATTTTTGGCGATTTTCGTTGGCGCGTTTTTTACAATCGTCAGCCATCTTGAAAAACGCTGTGTTTACGCATAGTAAAGTATTTGAAACTTTAAAAAAATTATGACTTAATGAATTAATTTTTTGTTGAAAATGTTGTTTTTTAAGATGGCAGGCAAGTGTAAATAAATACATTTACTATGAATATAAAATACTAAAGTAAGGTTATTATTACTTTCATATAGCAAAGAATAGAATAAAAACACCGCTATAAAAACATTGTGCCAACGTTTAATTCATTAAAATATTACTTAAATTGAATATCGAATTAAAAACATTATACCAACATTTAAAAGAATTAAAATATTGCTAAATTCAAATACTTTAAAATACGTTATATAGAATATAATTAACATTAAAACATATGTGACAATAATTATCTCAGCAATTTTTGAAAATATTGTATTAATTTTTTTAACAAAAATTTAAGTATACAATTTATAAAGTAAAAAAAAAAAAATATGTACTTACATTTTTTTGAGTCATTTAACCTGTCGTTTTATTGATAAGCACCACAAAAAAATCGGAATCATGATTTAGATATCAATGAAAAAAATTTGAAAAATGTAATATTAAGGGCAGGAATAAAAAAATTATAATTAGATATAAAGCAATTTAGAGCCAAATTAATGGATCATAAAGATTTAAAATAACAAATTTGAGGGAAAAAAAAAAAAAAACCCTCCAATAATAGGTATTGTTTCTAAGATTTGAAGATCCTTTAAACCGTCCCTCCCTGAAGTACAAAGGACAATTTTTTATTCCGATACCAATAATTCTTCGTACTTACCGATAACAACATTCATCTTTGAAGGAATTCGAAGATATGAATTAAATTTTAAAATGGCGCGGTAATGCACAAATTTTCAGTAACCAATCAAGGAGCTGATTACAGCTCGTGGGTAGAGTAGAAGGTACCGTTTGTATTATGGCGAAGTTGTTGTTTGATTTATCGCCAAGTTGTTGTTACATTTATGGTAGCCTGAGTAGTTCAATGTTATGGAAACCCTATTGTGACGTAATCGGGTGCATTAAAACATAGACATCGGTTGATCTTTACAATATGGTAACTGGTAGTTTGGCTACATTTTGGAGGCGATAAAGGTTTCTACCTGGCACTTTGATAATAATGTGAGCAGTACTCAGTTCCGATTACGCATTATTTTGTGTGAGGGAAATGAAGATCATGTGATATGTCCATGTGATTTAATGGACGAATACGGTTCTTTATCGAAAAGGGGGGAAATCGGGAAAAAATCTGGAAATTTGTATGTGGCTTTATTCTGTGTTGTTGAAACAGTGTTCGTGAATTTTTGGATCCATGGCCGTAACTAAAAGTGAATTCGGAATGGGGTATTTATGTATGTATAATTTAATGTGGTGCTATTTATATTTTAAGTAGTGTTTTTGAATTTAATTATATTTTAAATTAAATGATAGTTATTTTGTGAATTTTATGTTGTAGGAATTTGTATACGTTTAAGTTGAAGAAACGTGCATGGAAATAATTTAAATATTTGAACTAAGTATTGTAAAGTTTGCGTAGAATTCGTTGGTCTTTATATAATGTAATATATGATTTGAGGTAAAAGTTTTTGGATATTTTATTTATTTTATATGTGGAAATGTTCTATTTGGAACGGGTAAATAGTTTTTCGCGATCAGGTAATTTATATGTGTCTTTTTACCGGGTTTAAAGATTGAAAAATTGTCATGTATTTTTCGTAAAAAATTTTTCTAATTAATAGAAAAAGCAGTGTACATGGGATATAGTGAAGAGTGTGCACAATGCCATTTTGTGCAATTCTGGGATGTTTTTAAGTAAAAAAGTCGGCGTGTACATGGTTTATGTGTATGTTTTTTAAAAAATGCATAAGGAGTATGGGTATTGTGCACTTTTTCCCTTTTGCAATGAATATTGTCATGATTTGTGGATCATCTATTTGTCATGATGTCTGATTATTGTTAGATAAAAATTCTAGCATAAGTGTAATTCGGCTAGTAGAGTTGGAAGAAGTGTTCAGTATAAAAAAAAAAAACATGTTTTACTTCGTGAAGACAAATGGCTGGGAACAAAAAAATAGAGGGTGCTGTAGGAGAGTGGTCGCCACTTTTTCGCCAAAAAACGCCAAGTTACCATAATGTAAAACCTAACTGTAAAACATAAACATCTGTAATCTGGGAATTTTGAATCATGGGAGTTTTGTAAGCGTTTTGTGGTGTGTGTTGGTTTGTTCTTTAGACGGAGAATGGCCGAGTGTAGTAGATTAATTTGAAGTTTTTGTACGTTTGGAGCGAAAGGGGAAGAGCTTTGGGGTGTAAATGAAGTTTACTTAGTAGCCATTTAAGTGTCCTGATATGGGAAGGTATGCGTCTAGTCGAACGTAAAAACTGTTTAGAGGATTTGAATGGGCTTGTAGGAAAAAAGCTTCAGATGGTCTATGTGAAGCGTTCGATCAAATAGTACCTGGTTTGTAACCCATTGAGTATGATGATATTTTGATTTTTATTGTGGATCGGGTAACGAAGAGAATTCGAAATCATGGGAAGTGAATAAATGTATAACAGGTTTTTCTTTTTAGTTATTTTATTGTTTGTTTAAAATGTTTTATTGAGATATGTATTTTTTGTTGCCTATATTGTAGAATTTGGTGCTTCTTTGACTTCATAAGTAAAATATATCATTGTGTACATGGAAAAGTAAAGGGAGTGCGCAATGCAAGTTTGTGCAATTCTGGTTTTTTTTAAAGTGAAAATAGGTCGACATGTACATGCAAGTTAAAAAAGAATGCGCAATGCCATTTTGTGCAATTCGAGGATTTTTAAGGAAAAAAGCGATGTGTACAAGGAACCGGTTTGTGCAATTGTTGTCTTGTTTTTAGCTTTGTGTGCGGCGATTTTGTCCCAAAAATCGCCGCTTCACAAGCAAAATACGAGTAAAAGAATTGCACCAATTGGTATCTATGTACCGCCAAGTTTGACCAAGGGGTACCCTAAACTATACTTTTACCCAGCTCGTTAATGCACAAATATTCTATAACCAATCAGAGAGCTGATTACATCACACCTAGAATTAAAATTATTTAAATAAACATACATAAGAAAACCATTTTTCAAAAAATAATGCAAAATTAAATTGTATTTTAATATTTAACAGCCGTAAATAATGTTTAAAACATTAGATTAAATTTATAGATATTAAAACTAATTACTTTTAAAGTGAGGTGATGTCACTGATTATATCTCCACAACATAAATTTCATAAAATATCATAAACAAAAATTTTTATTCAAGTAAAAATGCAAAATTAAATTGATTTTAATATTAAAAGCCATAATAATATTTGAAACAGGAATTTAAGCATATTAAAATGCATTATTTTTAAAATAAAATGACAACAAAGTATCGGTTACCATAAATAACTTATCCAGCAATGGGTTTACCATAAGTCGTATTACTTGCCAAAAGAAAAATCACAAAAATCCGTGCAACCATCTGCCAAAGTAGCACTGTAAAATTAAGTAAAAAAGTACTCTTAGTTTGACATATGTGTTTTCAAATGATTTCGTTTTTCTAGGGCGAAAAAATTCTGCAGATATTTTTTTTTTGTTCCTGTTCTTTTTGTATTGAATATCATGGTACTAATCACAGTTATAGAATTCATAATATACATTATTTTGAAATTTTTAAAGCGGATGTTTTTGTTTCACATGTATGATCTGTAATTAGTAACAAAGTAATGATAGTATTATTTTTTAATTATAACTGTAATCATTCAGAAAATTGGCTGAAAACAAAATATATCAATATCATAATAAGAAGCATTTTTTGTTTTTCTCCTAGGTGTTTAATATGGTCGAAGAAGAAACACGTAGGTATCGTCCAACAAAGAATTATCTCGAACATCTGCCGGCTTTAAATTTGCATGCATTTGAAGTAAGTAGCATTTTTATTATATCGTTGAAAAGTTTATATAATAAAACAATAGTTGGTTTACTTTTGTATTTATTTATCACCAGAATTCAAAGGAAGAAAGTGTGATTGAACTATTATGTTCAATCACACTATGTATGTAATTAATAATGTACTTTTTTTTACAGAAAGTTTTTGTTAATTATATTATTTGAAACTGTATTAATTTCAACAGTGTTTTTAAATCACATCATTACTAGGCTTGCTAGTAAATTTATTTTGTTTTGCAATAGGTAGGAAATAGTTTTTGATTTCCTACAAAGGTTTTGAAAACTATCGTCTACCTTCCCTTCCAAAAAAGAGGAAAAAGGAAAATCTTACAGAACCGTAAGAGAGAATATAATGTGAAATTTCTATCTATCAAATAATAGTACCTATTCTTCTTAAAGATTTATGCATACTATAAATGTATATATTTAGTAGAAAAGTACTAAATTCAGACCTCGTTATTTACAGATGTCCTATTTGCAACATATAACTTTTTAATGCAGCATTTAAAATAGCAAGACATTTCATGTTACCTCCGATTATTACAAAATGTTCAGTGTTCCAAATTTGACTGAATGTTTACTTGTATGTATATAACAATAACTGTTGCATTTATCTAACAGCTATTTTTATTTTATCTTTCTTTCTAGACTGATGTCATAAGAACAGAATTTGAAAGACTACAAGCACGATTACCTATGGAAGTATTAAGTATGAAAAGGTAATTTAAGAGAATATAATTTAAATACTTTATTAAATATCTTTCTTGTGAGAATGCTAACTGCTCTTGAAAACTATGCGGTACTTACGTGTTATTGCATCCACCTAGATAAAAGTCACCAAATTTTCAGAACGTTCCAAACTCTAGGAACCATGTTTGTAACCATTCTTCAAGCAATTGTACTCATAAAAGATCTTTAAGTCAAGCAATGTTGCCGTTTTCGTATGCATTCTTTTTATTGTATTCCAAGTTGCCAATGGTTTTATAAACAAATAACATCATTACATCAGGATACTTTTGCCTTGAACATAGTTATAAATATATATTTGTGAGACCAGCCACCAACTTAAGATGTGCAATTCTGGAATTTTTTTTTAAATTGAAATCAGATCATTGTGCACTTGGGAAGAAGAAAAAAACAAATTACAGAAAAATTTGGAGATGGATGTAAGTGTTTTATTTTTTAATGTCTCACAATATCCTTATTTAAATGTTAAAATTTGTATTTTAAATTGTTAAAATATGTTTTATTTTCATGTGTTGATAGTATTTGATGACAATAAATAACAATAGGAATAAAAAATGCAGTAAAAGCCACCAATTTGCACCTGATAAATAGCTTTTACCTTTTCATCTGTAAAAAATCAGCAAATTGCACCAAGGTATGTAAGCATCAAATCTGGAAAAGTACTAAAAATTGTACATAATTGTGAGTAATAATACCTGTCAAATTATAGCAAGATGAAGTCTTAAAACTCTGGATCAGCCTTGTTGAAGATGCATTTGATTGAAACTGTTTTGTGAATGATTATGCTGATCTGCGCTGAGCTAAATCAGTGAATATATATTTCTCTGTGAAAAAGCATGTATTCAAATTTAATCTAACAAAAAAATCCTCAGTGCTAAAGTGCAAAAAGCCATCCTATTAGTGATTTATTTTTTTCTAATATTTAACCTGGAATTTTAGATTTATGTTTCATTTGTAACTACAAAATTACATGTCAAGTGTTGTGTTGGTTGTTCTCAATCTTTTCGAGACCCAGTGGTTCTCAGTCTTTTTCACTATTGATAGATCATTCCTCACCTTCTTGCCAGAGTACTGTTGTTTTTAATATTTATGAACTAAAACTAAATATTTAACAGCTAAATAAGAGATTCACCCCAACTATGAAATTCTCCCCCAGAAGGTGGAATCCCCCTCTGATCTAGCCAGATTTCCTTCAATGTTACTATATAAAAGTCTAGAAAAGCTGTTTCTCTTGTTAATGCAAAGATAATTTGATTATTATTCTGTTTGAGACTGAAACTTTTAATTACTTTTAAAGGTATGAATTGCCTCAACCACCAGGCGGTAAAATGACAGATCTGGCGGCATGGACGGAATGCGTCGAAAATTCGATGGCACAGTTGGAGCATCAAGCCACTCGGTAATTTAATGCTTTTGAAATAAAATGAGCCTTTTTATAATTTCTTTTTTGAAGACAAAAATTAAGATCTGTAAACTTAACATATCTCTTCATGTATTGTCCCCTCTTTTTAATAATTTTATCATCCAGAAATGGAGAGGGGAAGATTATGTGAATCATTTCATTTCTGAAGAATACAGTTATGGTAAGAACATAACAGATCAAAAGTAATGATGGATAAACTACATTTTACTATAATAAAAGTATTTCTTTAAAAGAAATTGCAATATGAATATATAGTAATACTAACAATATACTAGCTGTCTAATAAAACAGATTCATTTCTACTTCCTGTAGCTTTAGTCTCACCCATTATTGTTGCCTCTGCTATTCTTTAGGCCTCCAATCATCCATAATTAAACAGAGGAAATAAATATGCAACCAATTCGATGAAATCATGGATTGAATGTCGGCGCACATTTGTTTCGTGGTGGGTCAGTTTTTGTATTAACTTGGCATAAAATTCAACAGTTAGAAAGGAAAGTTTCAATGCAACATTTGCAGGTAGTTTGCAGTAGTAGTCTTTGTAAGAAAGACAAGAACAATCATTACATGGATGAATTCATTTTAAAATTTAGGACAGTTCGTTCTCTTTTTTTGAGGAAAGGGAAAATAACAGGAATAGTTTTTAAATTTTCAGAACCTACCCTAACAAAGCTGGAAGGGGAGAGTATGTGAGGAAATATGGTATTTTCGTACAGTAGGTTTCTCTAAAATTCTTATATTGACAGTATTGTTATTGTATTGACATTATTCTGTGTTATTTATATATGCTGAGTGCCGCCTGAGATAACCACTGACCTGACTTTGTTGTAAAAGTCTTCCAGTGTTAACAGTCATCTTGGCAGAAGGGAATATTTCTTCCGTGTAAAAATATAAATATTACATGGGCATACAAGGCCTGTGTATAAGCATAGATATGTGAATTACATTGTCTTGTACAAGTTACATGTAATAGTTACATAAAATCATGACAGTTATGTGCAATTTAACATTATCCAAATTCACATTACAATCGCTTTATGAGTAATCAAAGTAATTGCAATCATTACCATTAACTGAATTTCAATGTATTTAACTGCTTTCAATATTTTTTATCAAGTCTACAACGGATAGAATAGCTACATACAATAGTTTTGCCTTACAGTCCTGTTACTATTTCTATTGCTGTCTCGATTTTCAAGTGCGTAGTATTTTGATTTCTATTAAAATTATGGTGAGATACAATTCTCAGGGAGGGGGAGAATTCCTAGTATCTTGCTGAGCATAGACCAAAAACCTCCTCTATTAAATTTTCGTTTCTTGTGCCGCAATATTTTCTCCCGCTCATGCGGCAGTATTCATGCTGCATTTTAAATGCGTTATCAGTTTTTGAGCAGTTGAAAGAAACTGATCGCTCACCTACCACACCACATTATACAACTGCTGCGTTCCAACTCTTAGATAATGTGGAAGGGATTGGCAGTGTAGAATTGAGTTTGTGCTCCCTTGTATGTATTAACTGAGCATGTAACTTTCGGAGAGAGCCTATGCTAGCAGAATGAATAAAGGGATAATTTATGTTAAATTTATAACACCTTCCCCTAATTGCATAACATTAATGGTATATTGTAAGGTATGTGTTTATAATTTAATTTCATACACTTGATGGCTGTGTACCATGAAATTTGGGACTGAATACACAAATCAAATTTTGCAAGAGTCAAGTTTGTGAGTCAGAAAACATAAAATTTGAATTGATATATAATTATTTACCATTTTAAATTAAACAAATTTTTCAATTTTAATTATACATATTAAAGTAAATCAATGTTGAGTGAGTGATAAAAAATTTTACAATTTATGGTATTTACAATATATGGTATTTTTCCATTAAAAACTCCACCTAAGAAAGGTTTTGGTTCCACATCACAAAAATTGTCAAGTGTGGTAATGACTGTAGAGGAAAAGACATGAAATACAATTTTGAAGATTTTCAAATTAAACAACTGTTTGGCAGACTATTTTGAAAATTATTTGATTATCTGGCAAACTATTTGAAAAAAATTTAGCTCCTTTCTAGGATTAAAATGCTAATGGTTGTTGATTAAAAAGCCATCAAATGTAATTTTGAAGATTTTCAAGGTTAAACAACTGTTCGGCAAACTCTTTCGAAAAGTTACTTGATTATCTGACAAACTATTTGAAAAAAAAAAAAAAATTAGCTCCTTTCTAGGATCAGAATGCTAATGGTTGTCAATTAGCATGTTGACTGCCAGGGCACTTTTCGGATTCCGATCCGAGAAGCCAAATCGATTTAATCATATTATATTATTAAAAATACTAATTATAATTCATAACAATCATTAAAAAGTTTACAGGATTTTTCTTTTTCTTTTCTTTTTTTTTTTTTTGTGGTGTGTTGAAAAAGGGGATTCTACGAATTATCTTGTAGTCGGCTTTTGTTAGACAAAACTCTTCGCAGAAGCCCACTATGAGTTGATTCGTGCAGACATGCTTCGACTTGTCACCTAGGTACAGCTAAAACAAGCACTAAGCGAGTCAGTAACTCTTAGCTGCTCAAAAGTGGCATGTCAAGAAACTATGAGATAACTCGTGTTGGGCATCCTGAAGAAGAGTGCTAATACGAGTTATCTCATGTTGAGCACTCAACGTGTTAACCTCTTAATGCACTCAAGCAAGTTAACTCAGGTATGCTGAATAAATTATTTCCATGCATCTGAGTATACGTTAAAGACCTTTTTTTTTTACCCTCCCAGATATGTGTACTACAAAATATATCTTGTACAGTTTTCAGTTGAAAGAAAGAGGTTGAGTTAAAATTAAGAATTAAAAAATTGGCAGAAAAAGAATCAATGAATTTTTATTATTTTGTCACTAATATTAATATTTCTATATAGTAACAATAAATATTAATATTTCTACACAGTTTTCGGTTTTGAAAATGATGTCATTCATCTTAGGTTGGCATCACCATTGTTGCATTCCCACTATCGGTTTTTATTAAAATTGTGAGATGGCATCATGCTCGTTTACTCTTTAGAACAGTGCAAAAAGCAGGTTTTTATTGTGCTTAGTTTTTAGTGAATATTTCTATAACGATGAAAAAATTAGCAAAACTGAATCGGATTAAAAAAAAAAAGACATAACTAGTAATAAACAAATATTAATTCTTACTAAAATTGTTCCATGGCACCAAATACATTCTACACTGTTCAACAGTTTTATTCGAGTTTGGCAAAATTTTGCACCATCCATCTTGAACCAAAATAAGATGAAAATCACTAACTACCTGAGATTTCAAAAAAACTACCTTCCTCCTCAAATGAAGTCTGAGTAAAACCTATGTAACACTGGTTACTTCAGTTAATTTACATATATTGACTTTCAGAAACTGAATATTGTTTGCTGTTTTTGTATTAGGAAATGTCCATTCCTAAAATGTAAGCAAGTGCTTATATCTGAAGCACTATAGTTGATCTCTTTTGCATTTTGCATTCTGTAATTCTTCTGTAATAGTTTCTACGAAATCTGTCATGTAGCAACATAGTTGCAGTAAATTTTATGGACTGCATTAGTAAAGAAATACTTTTTAAAATTAAGTTACAAATAAGCAAAAATAATCACTAGTTAAAGGTATTTTATTCTAAACCGAGTAATATATGTTATTAATATAAAAGATAAAGTTTCCTAATTACTAAGAATACCATTTTCAAATTATTTTTTTTTATACAGTGCAGAGTCTAAAATCCAGGTGTTTAATATCTGGAATGATCTAATTTCTCAAACCCGAGGTTTGAATATTATATCTTTCTGAATACCAGGAGTCAACCAAAAGATTAAGCCAGCCAAGGAAACATATAAATAAAATAATAATAAAAGAATCATCTTACAAAATCTGAGAATCTAATATTAAAAAAAAGGAAGAAGTTATACCATAAAGCCGTTTTTCTCCCAACTAAGATTCTTGCATATCACTTTCAAATTCCTGCTGGCTAGGAAAGTCGCATCATAGCCAGTAACAATCACATTTACTGATATTAGCCAGGATCACACTTTTGCCCCTTCAGTGGTTGGAGAGGTGAGAGGCAAGGCAGGTGTTGGACATTTTATTGCCCAGTGCAGATGCTATGGTCCTAAATTCTGCTGCCTGGCACCTCCCTAAATTCTTAAATTTTTACTGCCTGTAAATTCTCATGCTTAGCGCCTCTCCTAAATTCTAAAAATTTTACCATGTAAGGATCTTAAGTTTTACTAACGTTTATTTTCTACTTCCGCACTTCTTATTTTCTACTTCCGGGCAGAATTATAAGCGTGAAGGAGTTGTATGTAAGTGGTCGGCGAACGCCAAGTATTTAAGTGTGGCCTTTTGCCAAGCGAAGAGAGGAAGCCGTAGTTCGAAGCAGGCCGCTTACCTTAGAAGTTACGCAGTTGCTACTTTGCCTTCCAGGCCAGAGTTTTAATCCTTTGATAAATTAAACGTTGTAGTGTACACAGTCTCGGTGCTACATACTCTTTTCTGTTATTATAAGGCCAATCTTATTCTAAAATTTAATTAGAGTTTAGTTTTATTTTGATTATCTTTAAGTTAGACCCGGTGGAGGTCATTGTATCCGAAGTACGGAAGTCATTGTTATAAGAAAAAATAAAGGGTTTTTATACCCTCGTCTGTATCCCTGTCTACTTTACTACAATTAGTGAACATAGCTTTAGTAAGCTCTCTGTTCTAGTCAGGTCATTGTATGTTCCGAGAAGGTTAGAAGAAACATGAACCTGATAGTGGCGCCCGACGAAGATAACATGCCGATTTCCAAGAAGAACCTGTGCTGCCTGCAAACAGCTCGAATCCCAGAAAGCCAGCTGCCCCGCCCCCTGGAGGATTTGGTATATTGTCCAGACCATGCGCGCTTCTCGAGAAACCAGAAGCAACGTTTAATGGAACCACAGGTAACCAGTTTTTT